GGATATTTGTATTTGTTTATGAATACAAATATCCCCATCTCTAATCCTGACACATTTCCAGGCAGAATCCCATTGGCAATTTACAGTTGTGTTAAGTGAAACTGCATTAGTCACAAAAGCAAATTGCTGCTAATTTGTGTGCTGCTGGTTAGATTCCTGGCCATGCACCCAGTTAGGCACATACTTAGGAATGCAACCAGCATCTATAGAATTAGCAACAATTTGCTGCCCTCAGTTCCATGATGTCACTTTTGCAACAGTAAATCACCAGTTGGAATCTGCTCACCATATCAAAAGCATATAATCAAGTTTTTTATTTGTCTTTATCGCTATTGTTTTGTCTTTTAAAAACCCTTTTATCTGATCTATAACTCCCAGACCAAACATGAGAACAATGGATATTTGTGGTTGGTAGTTTTTTACTTGGCCTGTGTTCTAATCTCCACACTCTTAGGGAGCAGGCAGGGTAGGTGGGGCTCATCAGCCTTGGAAAGCATCAGCCTTGGAAAGCAGCCCATCTGGGAGAAGGAAAACTCCGATTTCAAACCTCCACTGCCTTGTGGCTATATCCACCAATGGAAAAGGCTTCAGGAGTTAACCTCGAGGCAAAATCTGGAGCTGGAGTCCCGAAGACAGTTCGTGTCGTTCTGGCAGCTCCTGCAACGTTGCTGGAACCGGTTGTATTGGCTCTTGCCTTTCCACTGGACCATTTCAGGAACGTGGAGAGGGGGGTTTTGCTGCTTGGGTAACAGCCTATCCTCCATATTATTTTACCCAGGCTTTGTGCTCTGGAGATGACACTCCGCTTTGCATACAGCGTCGAAATAGCATGGGGAGTAGCAGTTACTGGTTATAAGTTATGTCTTTGCTCAATTGGCATAGTAGAGCATGACACTAGGGGTTAACTTCAGGTTAACTCCTGAAGCCTTTTCCATCAGTGGAAATAACCACAAGGCAGTGGAGGTTTGAAATTGGAGTTTTCCTTCTGCTAGATGGGCTGCCTTCCAGGGCTGACAAGCCCCACCTACCCGGTACACAGTGCCTTAGGGATTGGTATATGTAATTATTATTTGCCATCAAATTGATTCTGACTTCAGACAGCCTTTCCAGAGTACAAAGTACTCAGAAGTGGCTTACCATTCCCTTCTTTTTTCTGGCCTTCCTTGGTGTTGTTAGTTTTTAACATTCTGGACTGCGAAGAGTGGCGGAATGGGTAGCTGTTTGTAGAAAAGACACTCCTTGTGTTTTTTGGACTTCATTTCTTTCCATTTCTTTCTCCAGAGTACGTGAAGGATTGCAAATTATGTCCTCAGAACTGGAAGTTATATAAGGGCAAATGCTACTGGGTATCTCAAGAAAGAAAAAGCTGGACTCAGAGTCAAGATGACTGCAAGGCAAAGAACTCTACACAACCTGTGATACAGGATGTGGATGAGAAGGTAAACATAATATTCAAGTTTCATTTCTTTTGCTGGACTTCTCTCACAAATCACAAGTTCCAACAAAGCACATCTCAGTAAGTGTTTAAGAAACTGGTGTATTTATAGCTATTAGAAAGAAGAAAGTTACAGCAGTTACAAAAACAGAAAATAACAAAAGTTACTTGGAAAGTTACTTTCTTGGGGTTTCATCTTGACCCAGCACTTACCATGTATTCCCATGTAGCGTCTGTGTTCCATACCGCCCATCTACATCTTCAGCGGATTGCCCAGCTGTGCTCCTATCTTGATGTTGGGGTGCTTACCACTCTGGTCCA